CGGCGCGGGCATCGGCTCCGCCGCCGCGGACGGCGCGGCCGCCTCGCCTGTTAGCGCGCCCTCCAGCGCCCCCCCGTCCTGCACGCTCAGCTCCAGCCCGGACCCCAGCGCCACCTTGGCCCCCTCCGTCACCATCGCAGGTGGCACCGCACACACGTACACACCGGGGGACAGATTGGTTTGCTAGAAGAAGTGAAATGACGGGCCGCTTCCTCCGCAGCGGCCAGCATCGTCGCGGACCTGGCCCCTCCCGCCGCCGTTGCCGCGGCCAGCTCCTCGGTGACCTCGGCCGCCCCGGTCGCCGTGGTGACGGCATCCGCGGTGCCATCCCCCGTCACCGCCGTGCAGACGGTGCCGCTGCTGCCCGCCGCCCTGCCGCACAGCGTGGCCCAGCCCGCCGCCGCCATCCCGGCCTTCCCGCCCGTCATGGTGCCGCCCTTCCGCGTGCCCTTGCCGGGCATGCACATCCCCCTGCCAGGTGAGCCGAGCGGCTGCGCGTTAGCACGCGCGCTCGATTGCGGTGGATTGTTGCGGGCTTGTGCCGAATGGCGCGTTTGCCTTCAAAAGGGCCCGGGAAACCATTTCTCGACGGATCGCGGCTGGGGTCACGCTTCCGTTCCGGGTGGTCGCTTTCGTCCTCGGGCGTCGATTTGACGTTGCATGGCGGCGCAATGCTCAAATCCTAAAAAGCTTCGCATGCGTCGGCTCGAGGCCATCGATGTGGGCAACGTGCGGACGACGTCGCCGGTGAAGAAAGTGGCCAAAAGCGCGTTTCTGTAAAGTTCAATCGCAGTTCTTGGACCGCTTCCTTTTCTATGCCACGAAATGGCGACTTCAGCATCCAAACCGGAGACCACTTTTGCACTCGTCAAAACACAAATCGATGTCCGAAAGAGACAAATGCCGTCGTTGGGGTGACTCCGGCACTTGATTGTGATGATGAGGGCGGGACATGTGGTGGGGCTCCGCCGCGGCTGCCGCATGTTGACTTTCACGCCGCGTTGACCTGCTGTGCCGCCGAGCAACACGGCAAGTGGTTAGCCCCGCCCTCTCCGGCTCCCTCGTCCACAGCGGAGACGACTTGCGTTGCTTGCGTCTTCTCCCCCCTTCCTGCCCTCCTCGTGCAATCGGCGGCGATGCTGCCCGTCCCGCTTGTGCACACCCCCTCCCCCGCCATTTGCCAGCAGGCTCCATGTCGCATCCACTTGCAGCCGGAAGACGGGCCCCGAGGCGACTCGCGTGCCCCTCTCGAGTCCGAATGCTGAGAACGGACCTTTTGGAGATGCTTGAAGTGTTTCACCGATTGGAAATCCATTTTGCCCCATTCTGGTCTCCAAACGCGGTGGCCCGCCCCCCTTTTTTCCAATTCAAATGTGGCCCTCGGGCACCAGCCTTTGCCCGCCCCCGATGAAAGCGCAAAGGGGACGACCCCCAAGCCCAAATCGCACGCGCCGACATACAGAGTGTGCGTTGCCGGTGTCCGCCACCAACCAACCAGATGCTTGCTTGTGCGTTGTTGTTGCAGGTGTAGCAATGATGCAGATAGTTGGCGCTCCTTGCGTAAAGGCGGGCCCCGGCGCCAACGGTAAACGCAGCCGCCTGCCCGCCCGCCCCACCAGATGGCATGCTTGTCTGTTGCCTCCGCTGCACTCTGTCGCCATTCGTGCACGCCGCACATGCGCAGCGCTTGGATGGCTCCTTTCGTGGCTTGCTCACAACTGCGCACGCAAATTGATTGTTGGACACACTTTGTCTCTGTGTGTGTGTGTGTGTGTGTGTGTGTGTGTGTGTGTGTGTGTGTGTGTGTGTGTGTGTGTTGGTGT